AAATTATAGACAATATTTATGTGCCCTCAAACAGCTGAAATACCGATATTTTTCAAAAGTTTTACATCTCGATGCCAGAGCTCTTCCCTGGACCGTTTAAATCAGAACCTCCGAACCCGGGGGTTGTGCATGGGTACATTCAAAGGCTCCGCAGGCGATTGTAGAAGTGCAGCAGGGGAGGAGACGCGCTGCTGGGGGAGCAAGTCTCTCACTCCTTCAGGTGCCCTAGGCTCTGGCACTGCTCCATCACTTTCCTTCTGGTTCAAATCCTTCCATCTGTTTCTAGGCAGGTCGACCCGGGCTGGGCTGTAAGTAGCTCGGGACTCTCTATCTGGGCGTTGGCAGGACGCTGGGGGCCAGGAGGGACAGACCGCTGAGCCTGGATTCCATAGTCACTGCCCTGGGGTGCCACCCGCCCGACTTGCCCTACAGGGCCGCTCGGCCAGCGCAGATACGATCCCGCAGCTGTTCTGAGGGACAGGAATGCCCTAGGTGCCCATTCATGCCTCGATCAATGACCCCGGCCTCCTGGGGGCACAGTGGTGATGGGGAGAACTGAGCTGTCGCATGGCCGGCCGACCTCGTGGCGCAACGGTAGCGCGTCTGACTCCAGATCAGAAGGTTGCGTGTTCAAATCACGTCGGGGTCAGCGAATGCTTTTCTTCTACTTTTATTAGCTCCCCTTAATTTAAACTACAGTCGAGCTTCAGCGTTCAGGTCATTGAAGAATCAATATCCTCTTGGGTCCTGAAGGGGAGGGGTTTCTGGCACGAATTTCCGAGGCCACCCCGTTTGGGCAGCCCAACCTCGCGGGGGTTTTTGCGATGGATCCGGGTACCATAATTCTGGGCGGATAACGCGCCTCCTCAGGACAGGAGCAGTTCTAGATCTCTCAGCAGAGGGAGGAGGTTCGGACGATCACGCATGGGAGAAATCGGTCTACGATCTGTGAGTCCTCTTTCCAGTGCTGAGCTGGTTCCTTCAAAATGCGCAGCCTTCGCGACAGAGGCGAACCCCACTTGCGGGAAGTTCAGGTCCCAGAGATGTGAGATGCGGAGGGCTGTCTGTACACCAGGAACTATCCGGAGACGAGGTGGCCGAGTGGTTAAGGCGATGGACTGCTAATCCATTGTGCTCTGCACGCGTGGGTTCGAATCCCATCCTCGTCGGCTACGGAAGCCCTGTGGTCTGAGCTCAAATTTTGTAACACCTAAACTAGGATTTCTCTTGTTACTCCGAGTCACTCCATTCGGTTTTCATGCCTTTCCCAGCTGCTTCCATCCTTTCCGCATTTTCCAAGGCGGCCGACTTTTTGTGACATTTTTGTATTCATGCTCTGCAATTGAGCTGACCTGGCCAAGGAAATAAGATCCCAGGCGCCCTTCCGGCGGCGCCGTGGCTTAGTTGGTTAAAGCGCCTGTCTAGTAAACAGGAGATCCTGGGTTCGAATCCCAGCGGTGCCTAAGTGTTTCCCCACGCTTTTGCCAACATTAAACATTGCGAGGAGAGTTGCAGAGCCTCATAACTTCCAGCCTGTATGGTTTATTCACATAATCATCTGTCTTCTCTCGGTGCATCTGCGACACGCTGTTGGGAATTTTGCTCTTCGTGCACAGTGTACTTGCGCCTCGACCTGCAACTACCCCAGTCGCATCATCTGTACTTGCCGGTACTGTGACTTGTTACTCGTCTAGGTGCTCAGTCAGTTTTTGTATTCTGTTTTCATTTCTGACAAAGAAGTCCCACAACTAAAGGTTTATCACGAGAGGACTGAACAGTGTTGTAACTAAATAACTTTATTTCAAGCAGTTCTTAACAGCTGGCCGGTTAGCTCAGTTGGTTAGAGCGTGGTGCTAATAACGCCAAGGTCGCGGGTTCGATCCCCGTACGGGCCACAGCTGAAACTTTTCAAAAGCGGCATTCCGCAGTCTGTTTTAGAGCCAAACAACATCACTGGTGAAAACCAGCGAAACATTTCCAATCCCAGAAGAGGAAGTGTTTTGGAGCACATTCTAAATGTGGGTGTGTCTTGAGAGGAAGGGATTGAGAGAAACCCGGGTTGTTTCATGATCCTTGCTTCTGCATCTTAATGGCCATAATATATGGCTCCTGAACTTACTGTGTGAATTGTAAACAAAAGGCTTTGGGACTAATTTGTCTCAAACCACGTGACACTGATCTGCAGAGTGTGGGAATGGTCAGGAATGGAGCTGACAAGTGTTCCCAGTCTTCCTCCAGAGGTAAGATGTCCGTCCAATCCACCCAGTCCCTGCCTATTCATCAGGACCTGAGAAGACAATTTCCTCCCCTTCTCTTCTAGAGCACTTTGTTTTTACTTTTCTGTGGTTACTGGATCTCTGGGCCCCTGTGAGTGATGATCTGTGTCCTCACATTTCCCCTCAGACCAGATGCTTGAGAGCAGGAACCATATCCTTCCCCACGGAGCCTGAGACACCCCCACCCCCACCCCACTTCCAGCACCAGCCCCAAGGGAGCTGCGTGAACAACACCGACCCTCATTCCCATTGCTTTGGCTTATTAATCACTGCAACCCCACACAGACTCAGCCTCAGCCTTCGCAGCAGCAGCACTTTAATTCCACAAAATCTCAGAAAGCCAAAACTGATGAGAACACTCCACAACAGGTGGGCTTCAAAACCAGCAACATTCTATCTGAACCCTGAGAGCAGTGAGACGCCTCCCACCTCACCCCCCCTCCGCCGTGCAACCCATTCCTCCTAGCTGCACCCCGGTTCTGGCTGGGGAAGTGGTATGGTAGAGGGCCAGAGGGCAGAAGCAGAAGGCTATCCATCCGCAGGGGTGCATCCTTGCCTGCGGTGTGTTTGGCCAAGGACGGCTCAAGCTCCCACAGCCCCTGGCACCTGAGATGTGGCCACTGAAGTCAGGATAGCCACAGTGGGGGCTGGGGCTTCCTCTGTCCCTTTCTCCTGATTACATGTGGGAGTCACGTCCTCACCTTGAAGCAGACCTAAAGCCCTGTGTTCCCAGGGCTGGTGCTCTAGCTAGGGAGGAGAGTTGGGAAGAACAGGGTAGCTACAGATGGCCAACTGTATAAAAGCAGAGCAACATCCCTTCCCACCAGGAAAGCCGTTACAACTTCCCCATATACACCAGCCTAAGGCCCAGCGAGTGGGCGCGGGCCAGCTGAACGCATCTGGAAGAGCCTCCAACACACAGGCTTCCCCTCAGTGGGCACTTCCCACCAGGACTCCCTGAAGAGTCCTTAGGGTCCTGCTGGGCCCTGCCCTGGCCAGGCCCGGCCTCTCCTGTCCTCCTGGTCACTTGCACAGGGCCTCCAACACCTCCAGAGTACGTCGGATATCCCGAACTTGGCGAGCCAGCCCCTGAACCGGCTGCAGAGCCCGCTCCAGCTCCTCGCAGCGCGCCAGCAGGGTGTACATGCCCTTGATGCTCATGTCCACGGCTTCACCTAAGGAGTCCACAGCGTCGCGGTAGGTCTGGATGCAGCCCACGCTGAGCGCCGTCAGCTCCTGCACCGCGCCACCCAGACCGCGAAGCAGACGGTCCACCCGGCCTCCCAGCTCCCGACTCAACCGCTCCAGATCCCGCAGCACCTCGGGGTCGATGGGGGGAATAGCTGGTGTGGGTGTGGGTGCAGGCACTGGGCAGGGCCGCGCAGGGGCAGAAGGCGGGGGTGGAGGGGCGCCGCTCAGACGGATCTTGAGTTGCAGGTTGTTGGCGACAAAGTGGGTGAGGTCGCCGTGGCGGCTCACTGTGCCCTCGAGCTCCAGGGGACTGGAGATGGTGGCGCGGCGTCCGCCGCCCGCGCCGGACTCGGCACTCCCTGAGGACCCGGCGCCACCGCACGCCTCGCTCAGCCCGTCCAGGCTGCGGCTGTCCTGAAGGCGGCTGGAGAACGAGCGGCTGGCTCTGCCGCCCGCGGCCGCCTCCTCGTCGTTGTCTTCTTCCTCCTGCTGCTCAACATCCATCCCGCCGCCAGGTCCCCCTCGACGGCAGTCCCTCCCGGAGGCGGGTTTGCCCTCGGGTGGCGCTGGGTCCTTGTGCCGGAAGGACGGGGACGGTTCGTGCTCTGCACCCGGCGCCCCACTGAGGCTCCCGGCCCCAGACGGCGTCCCTTGAGGGCCAGGCTCTTTCTCGAGAGCCTCCCGTTCCGGCCGGTGGACGACGCCGCAGCTTGACGTCTTCGGGGACGTCCTGGGGTAGCGGTTCGCGCCCCCAACGTTCTCGGCCTCTTCCTCCCCGGACACCCGGAGGCCTGAGGGCGGCTCAGAGGACGTTCGGCCCGGTCCGCCGCCGAAGATTGCGGCCTGCTGTTCCGCTACAGCCAGAAGGTCCGTCTCGGGCCCGGGCCGCCCCCGAGACGACTCCATACTGCAGGTGGGGGCCGCAACCGAGGAATTGGTTCGCCCCGGCTCCGGAGGCGGTGGCTGCGCCTTTAAGGGGCGTTGGTAGAGGCGCGCCGATTGGCAGCGGCTGACAATGGTAAGGACAGGAAAAGCATTTTGATTGGTCGTGGCGACCAGGAAGTCCCGGAAGAAGAGCTGTTACTGCACAGCGGAACACACGTGAACGCCGGCTGGGTGGAGAGAAGGAGGTGACAGCTGCTCCCGTCACCCTGCCCTTTCTGAATGCTGATGGGCCAGATCTTAAAGACCAAGGTCCTCAAATTTCTGAGTCCCGCGGGGTGGGGCTTAGATTTTTTCTGCCTGCAATTGTACCCCCCCACAGTGATTGCTTAGCAAAAACACCAAGTGGGGAGCCCACTTGGGGTTCCTAGAGAGGTTCTTAGGATGGAAATGACATATCCTGCTTGGACCATCGGGGTTGAACCTACTTAACTAAGAAGGAGGAAACCAGAAGTCCAGCGTGAGCGTGAATGGTTTGCTCTATCTTTCTTGGTTAACAGACCTACCCATTGAACTGCTCAGAGCGATCCATTGTGGTCAAGGCAGCGGCCTCTGGACTTTCCTATGCTTTTGCCACTCTTGTTCTGTGTCTCTTGCCCCTTTCACATTGAGGGGTCTCGCCCCTTGGAAGATGGCGTGTGATTTTGCCACGAGGTAAAATATTCAACAAATGAAATGATCACAAATTTTGATATGTACTATACAGGAAATAAAGTGTTATGATTGAGAATATAACTGAGGCCGGGCGCGGTGGCTCAAGCCTGTAATCCCAGCAGTTTGGGAGGCCAAGACGGGCAGATCACGAGGTCAGAAGATCGAGACCATCCTGGCTAACACGGTGAAACCCCGTCTCTACTAAAAAATACAAAAATCTAGCCG